AAATAAGATTACTTAAAGATTTTTTATAAAATATATTTAACATCAAGTAGATGTGTCTACACATCAGGTGGGACTTTCGCAGAGGGAGGAATCTTACCACTAGTTTAAACCTGCCTAAACCTGCTGATCCATTATTGCAGAGAGCAGTGTGTATGGGATATTAATTATAGATATTAACCCCAATCATTCTAATCACCTATTATCACTAATCCTCAGGATGTGCCACTAGCATAGCGCAACACTACCGTTTTCACCACCTGTGGAACTGGCGTTCTTGCTTGGATTTCGATTTAATCTTGTAGATCCTCACTAGACTTACTTGGCTTAACGATTTTTGTCTAGTTTTCTCACCACCTGTGACTAATACCTTGCCTATTGGCCATATGATTAAGTTCTATGGAACACCACTATTGGGATAGATCTATAAGCTTCAAATTAGAATAGATCAGCTTAAAATTAACCTCTTTATATTGTGTAATAGAGTCTGCCGTCGCCAGTTTGGGTTAAAGTTTTGTGGGCTTATTACTGGAGTTAGACCAGAAGCCTTTTCTTATGCAACCTTCCTTGCTTTGATCTGTTTTCAGCCTACGATCATTGGGAAGATCAGAGGTCCTATCTTCATGCAGCCTAATTAAATTTGGAGATAGATTTTGTCGGCTAATTGGGTACGATATGAATTGGAAGCCAGTTAACCAATCATGAAGGTGATAAATTTTTATAACCAGTCGGGGTTGAACCCTAGACCTTTTCCTGGTGACTTATGGAGCATTACCACTGTGCTATAGACCTATAGGTCCTCTTATTTTTTAAGTTTTAAAGAATATGTATTAAAATTTTTATATTATTTAAATAATTTTTTATAAAGTTATAATAAAAATATTAAAGATGTTTATATAAAAGACACTTGATAATAAAAATGAATTTTAAAATAGTTTAGTAATAATCTTGATATTAAAAATTATAAAATCATGTTATTTAAAAAATATTTAGCTTTAATATATGGTAATAATCTTATTAATGTTTTAAACCAAAGATTAATAAATGTATCAGTATACAAACTGATTAAAAATAAATAATAATAATAATAATGATAATAATAAATTATTGAACAAAATTGTACCTTGTTATATATAAAATATATTTAATATAAATATTTATTATCAATATTAGCTATAATATAATATCAATTATTATTGGTTAATTAAATTTAATATTCTAATGTTCAAATATACTGATTAAATACACTATATTGATTTTATTAATTGTTTTTATTGCAATATATTACATATTACATCTTTACATATAAATTTGAAGTTATTTTTGCACATAACGATATCGTCATTTTGTTTTGAAGTTTCGGCTATTACATCAGTATATTATATTTTATAAAATGTTAACAGTTTTAATTTTAACATTAGCAAATTAAAGTTATGCATCGTGAGATTCGACAGTAATTTCTCGATAATAACACTACCAAACAACCCATTGTGGTCTGAATTGGTCTGTGATCTTTCTGAAACCTTCGTATTCGTTAACACAGTCACTCTCATTCACCTTTTGCAGTGCTTCGGGCATCCACTGTCGTATGTTTTTTATTCTGTGTTCAGGGTTTGGATGAGTGCTCAAAAATTGTGGTACAGTTTTCGGATATCTATTCATTCTTTCCCACACTCCTATCGCTTCCTCGGGATTAAAACAGGCTTGAGCCATTAGAAGAAGACCAATGTAATCAGCTTCCATTTCACATTTCCGAGAAAAAGGCAAACTAAAAATAAACCAAATATATGAAGTCAAAATTGATAATATTCGTATTGTTTAATACTTTGTTAAAGGCATACAGTATTCCGAGATCGATGAAGAGCCGACTGAGAAAACCGGAATCAATGAATATGCTAAGGAGAATTTGACCCATGAGAAGAATTTTGAGAAATGAAAATTTTTCTGCGCTGTGGCGTGCGATTTGATGACCAATCTTTGGAAATATGATCCACATTAACATAAAAAATGTAATAGATAAATGAATTCAAATCATTATGAGAAAGCCAACCTCATGTCCCAGAACAGCTGCCAAGCCATCTTTATTTTCCACAATTGGCAGAATTCCAGTGAAAACAAAAATTTTACCTCCAGGCAAGACGAATGCGTTCCTTTCGGGTGAATCTATGACATGGAATTCCCATTTCAAATCTAAAATTTGATCGCCTTTAATATTTATCATTTCTCGTTAAATCTACAAATTGCAACAAGAGGAGCCTAAAGACCTTGCATTCCGCTAACTTTTATGAGTTTCTCTGCCACTTTCCTAACAAATATAGTACGATTATCCCACGAAGGTAAAATATGACCTTGATATTGATTCATAATTTGTCTATATGCTTGTTGTGCCATATATTCTTCTTGTTTTGGTGTAACATCCAGAAAACGTCGCCTGTTGGTAATTGGAACTGTTTCCAAATGAGTCATATAGTAAATACCGGTAAATGCCCCCACCCCACCAAAATATACCCAAAATATTCGCTTTTGATAAAAGGGAACGGCACTTTTAAACCGTTCATATTTCGAATTTAGCGGATAGTCTTGCGGAGGTCGAGATATTTGTGTTCCTCTATTAAATAATGAGAGCTCTCTTTGCACATTTCCAAAAATTCTGTTTCTGTTTGCAAAGTATAAAGGATCGCATTTTGTTGCAAAATTAAGTGGGGCCACTTTTGGGAAAAAATATATTTTCTTGCCAAAATTAAGCCGAGTATTAATCACAAAACTTCTCACAAGGCACATTATTCAGGGTAAGAGTTTTCTGAAATAGGTCAAATGCAAACGACACGTACTTATAATACACGTTTATATACTGTATATGTAGATAACACGTACAATCATTGGAACAAAGTATTCCATATTGTATCATTTTTAGATATGTAACTGCTCACCTGACTGGCCGACGATCTAATTTAAACAGGCCTTTTGTAATTTCTTTATTTCCGAAATCCAACGAGGACGGATTTGTTTACGACTCATATTCTTCGTTGCCATCAATGAATCAACAACAGCAATCGGGATATACTCCAAATTCCTTAGGTCTTTCGACTAATCCTGCTGTACTGCAACAGCAAACTCAACCACAGCAATATGCTAACAATTTTAATTCACATCAAACTAATCAGCGTCCGATGAACATAGCGATATCTCAGCAATCGCAACAAGCGACTATTGAGCGTAATTACGGGGCTGTTAACAACCGAAACATTCAGCAAATAAGAAATTTGGGTGGGGAAAGTGGAGCTAATCTTACAAACCAGTATCTTTTTCAAAATCGTCAGTCGTTACCCGCAACGTCTGCCACTCCAATGCCTTCAATCCCAACTATGAACAATACTATTTATGGCAATAATATGACTACAAATATGTTAGGTTTTCCATCACAGAGTAATATCAACAACGTAGGCCTAGACGTGTTTCAATCCGGATTCAATCGCTCGTTAGGTCAAATGGTACCTCGACCCATGATATCCATACAACAGCAACAACAGCAACAGCAACAACAACAACAACAACAGCAACAACAGCAGCAACAGCAACAACAGCAGCAACAGCAACAGCAACAACAGCAACAACAACAGCGTCAACAACAATATCAACAGCAACAATTACAAAATCAACAACAAAAATTACAAATACAAAATCAGCAACAACAGCAATTAAGAATGCAGATGCAACAACAAATGATTCAACAAATTAGAAGACCAGTTCAAAATTCTACAACCGCACAAAATATCCATCATCGTTCATCGCATCAGAAGCAAACTGGAGATATATCTACAAAAAAATCACAATCTTCGTCTAGCGGGAAATCATATGAACCTGCACCTGATCTTACTCCTGTTCAAAAACAATACCTTGAACAATATGTACGTCGGGATTTACTTTATCAGCAGGCTTTGGATATCCAATCCAAAAGACAGATGAGCATAATTAACGAGAAACGTAGAGAAATAGAAAGGCATCAAACCCGTTCTGGAATATTAGCATTTGGTCCAGGATATGAAGGATATGGAAACGGTCTAACAGGAACAAGATTTCGCATTGTATATCCAAACGAGAGGAAAAGGCATAAGAAAACCAGAGAGTTTAAATTGTAAGTATTATCATTAAAGAAGTTTAGTTCTAATTATGCAAATGCTCAACGTAGTCAACCACATTTGAAATTTTTCATCTAGCTCTCATCAACAATTGAGAGATATTGCAGAGAAGGAGGATAATTTGGTTCCAATTCGATTAGAAATTGACGGAGCCGATGGTTATAAATTGCGAGACACGTTTACCTGGAATGTGAACGGTAATCTCAAATTTCCAAAGGAAAAGGAACCAATGTTATTCACGTGTCAGCATGCGAATCTAATATTAATGCAACTTGTTGAATATATTCCGCCAAATAGAAACTTGCATTACGCCTGAACACTTCGCAGAGGTTCTGTGTGATGATCTGCGTTTCCCAGCTTCAACATTTGCTCCTCTAATTGTCAAACAAATACGCGATCAATTGCAAGGATACATTCTACATCCTTTATCATCTACTAAACCACCGACGTCTAGTTTGACTGCTGATGTATTTTCAGACCTTAAAACTTCCTCATCGACCGATGATGGCGAAAACGATAGCGAACTCACTTTATCGAATGACAGCATGAACGAATGTGCACACGAGGAATTACGCATTTTAATAAAGGTATATCTTGATTTACATATATTTCATATTGTATCTATGAGATTTACGATGTTCACCAAATTTTTAATGTAGATCGATGTGACAGTTGGAAATATTTCATTGGTAGATCAATTTGAATGGGATATTAATTGCCAAAAAAATGATCCTGAATTATTCGCAGAAATTTTGACAACCGAGTTAGGTCTAGGGGGAGAATTTAAGTGGGTTGAATTATTTGTTCGCTACTTTAACTCTTTTCTTAAACATATTGCCTAACCTTATTTGAACATGTTGGAATTAACAGAACTGCTATAGCACATTCAATCCGCGAACAAATACAAATATATGTTAAATCATTAATTTTAGTTGGTCATCAATTTGACGGATCACAGGTACAAGATGACGATCTTCGACAAAGTCTCTTGCCACCTGTTACAAATATTATTCGGAGAGAAGATGCGGTTGATCAACATACACCACTGTTAGTCGAGTTGACCGAGACCGAGATAGATAAGATTGAAAAAGATAGAGAAAGAGATGCTAGGTTGAGAACATTTTTGTATTATTGTTGTTTTAATAAACCTTCTTTCCCCATGAGGCAGGGTAACCTATTATTAAATTCTTTCTCATATATTTAAATTTAATAGGCGAAAAAGAAGGCAAACACGTGGAAGACGCGGGGTTATCTTGCCAGATAGGGAACCACCCAAAACTCATCGTACTCTACTTCATAATACCACTATGATCCAGGATCCGGCTGATGAAAATAGTTTAATACCGGTGCTTTCTTCCGGAATGCCACCTGTACAACGTAAAGCAAGCTCTATGGGATATGATAATTATTCCGCAATATCCGAAAAATCATCCACCACTCAAGGGAAAATACGAGGGCGGGGACGCACGGGAATAAATGGAAGCAATCTGCGTGGAGGTATTCAGTCAAACACCCTGGATATAATCGATGGAAATAACTTTGGAAGGTCTGGTTCGGTAGGTCTCAGCCCCCCAAAAGAGTCGAAGGAGGGAACAAAAAGACCTCATCGACGTGAGTTAGGTCTATATTGATGGTTTTTTTGACCGTATTACACCTCAAGGCTATTAATACGGAATGTGACATTAAAATGAAATTTATCAACTTGCGAATATATTCACGGTCGACATGATTGGTTTTATAATAAAAATCCTGAATAATTGTTTATTATTTTTATTGTGCGTTAATTTACACAGGACTAGCAAGCAAGGAATTAGAGGAATGGCAATGTGATGGTTGCGGGTGTCCTTCAACATCAACGCCACTTCTGAGGAAAGGTCCTAATGGTGAAAAGGTACTATTGAACTCCATAATTTAAATTGCTTTGATAATTTACGTAATTTGGAGATTTTCGCGACTCTAATGCAAAACGAATCTATTGATTTAGACGCTATGTAATGCGTGCGGTAAGTCCGAGAGTGCAAATAATGGATGGATTCATCCCGAAGATTTTACCGCGTAACTTGGCCACATTTCCTCTGTCGATTAAATTGTATGCCATTCACACACGTCGAACTTTTCCTAATCGTCAGGCCTCTACTTTCAAAAGAACAATTCACTTCGGCCAAATCCTCTAAACACGAATGACGCCGGTGTCAGCTTGCTTCACACGGGACATAACTCTTCTCCGATCACTACCATTTCAGCGAATAATTCTCATGTAAAAAGCCATCAGAATAATCCTGTACCTCATACTCACTATTTACCTACGATGTTAATTGGACATAATCCATCAGTACAAAATGCATCGTTGGATGCTCAACAACAATCTAATACATCTGCAGAAAAATTGCTGCCTTCACAGAAGCTGCAAGAGATAAAAAATCAAGATAATAAAATTTTTATAGATTCTAAAGAAATACCTGTAAGTTCCACTGCACCTCAGATTGCGGGTACATCTGTTCCACACTTCATTCATACGGCGACAACTTTCACATCTCACATTACTGCTAATTCTGCTGAGCCTGTAAGCAAAACTACGTCGACCACGTCAAATATGGCTGTTCATGTTGCGGTAATTTTATTTATCTATAATTTTATTGTTTTTAAAAAAGAAATAGATTTATTGTGCTTAGTTCACCATTTTTGAGATTCATCTGACATTTGAAATGAATTATTTCTATATCCTGAAGGATTTTCCCGAATGGACTATTCCACAGTGTGAACAATTACAGCGAAAGTATCCTCATGATCATTTTGATATCATTCAACAACCTAATCATTACCCCGCTGAATTTCTTGTTAAATGTTTCGATTGTCCTGGAAAACTATATAAACTCGGTCCTGATCTTACTTTGGGAAATTTTGAAATTCATCTAAAAAACAAGAGACATCGTTTGGCCGTGGAGAAACGCTTACGTTTGAATCAAAAATTGACTGAAAATACGTTGAATAACGAAATTAGTAATAGTAATACTGTTAGCAGGGGTGGCCACAATGATCATATCAATATTATTATAGGTAATAAAGACTCTGGTAGATCTATCTCTGTTACGCCTGTTGGAAGTTCTGCTGGGCTCGCAAGTGACAATAGCAGTATAAGATCAATGGGGAATATGAATAGATATATTAGTAAAAGTAAAGATGAACACGATTCTAGTAATGAGGTAACTGCCGTTGGAGTCTTCATCGATAATCGTAACGGTATCCCCCAAACACCCAAACCAAAAGAGCATTGAAGCTTTATACGGAAATTTCTTCAAAATCACAATTTCTTTTACAGGTAATATTCTTTAGTTATCACATAAGAACTATTATTAAATGAAAAGACATTGTATTTTTTTTTTATAATTATTTTAAGATGTATATGCAAAAAATTTACTTCTTTCAACTTGTATGCATGTTTTTATAACGGCTTATTAACAACTGACTTGACAAAACGTCAGACATTTATTGAAAATGCAATTAGAAAATGCCCTTTTATTTAAATTTGAAGACGAGATGTATTGATACGGATGGATTGAATTGATCTTGCAACAGGGGAAGGATTTATACATCTTTCCATCAATGCATTTTAATTTACATAAAATTAAGATAATAAAAGGTTTAATAATACTGCCGCATTACACAATTTTCCAGGTAATAAAAAAATTAATAGGCAATTAATATAATTACTTTTAGTGTCATTATTATTACTACCAAAATCAAGCATTCGAACTATAATAAAGTTAATTTAAGATTTAATGGTTAAAAATTTGAATGATTACAGTATATGATCTCGTATTAATCTTAAAATCACATTTGCTTGCTATTCACTAACAAAAATATTCGTTTTTTTTGATAAAATTTTATAGTTCACAAAAACAACTTAATAAATTGAATATTTTTATTATTAAGTTTCAATAATTAAGTAGAAAAACATCTTGTTTATTCTTATAGCTATATTATACCCAAAACTTAGAAAGTTTAGCAAATAATAATAATAATAAAATAAATATTCGGAATTTAAATTTAACTTGAGTTTAATATATAATTTTGCTTTTAATATTTTTATTTAATTAATATATTTTTTTTGATTAATATAACTTTATTATTTATAATTTATTACTATTATATTAATGATTATAATTTATTAAAAATACAGATAATATACAGTCAGGGATGAAAAAAACCACCTTTAATATTTTTATTATAACTTTATAAAAAAATTATTTAAATAATATAAAAATTTTAATATATATTCTTTAAAACTTAAAAAATAAGACTACTTAAAGATTTTTTATAAAATATATTATTAAAAATTTTTTAAATTTAAATTTAATATCTAAAAAAATAATCAATTAAAACTTATATTATTTTTTAATATACAGTAAATTTAATATGAATGAAAATTATAATTTTTAAATAAAAAAAAGAATTTAAATGTTATTTTTATTTTTATTATTTTTTTTTTTAACATAGGTAAATATTATCTTTTTATTTTCATAAAAATTTTAAATTATTTTACATGTAGAAAGTAATAACATCTCTCACATGACCAATTGATTGGTAAGTCTAATGCTAGTTTGCTTATAGAAATTATCTAAGCAACATAGAAAATAAATATTAAAATTGATGTACATCCTAAATAGTGCTGAGTAGCTATGAATATCTACTCAGGTTTATATGTGAGACTATAAGAAATTGAGAATTGAAAAAAAAAGAAAATACTAAACAAAAACAAAAAAAAATAAATACAACAATACTAATTGTGAAGCTATGGATGCTTCAGATAAAATCACTAGGTGCTCCACACTGGTAATTTCATTTAACTGAAGTACTGTTGCACTTCCAGAAGTGACCAGGCTACTGTTCAAAGTGTACAATAGTGTTGATGATATATCTTTTTGATAGATAATTAGTCATGGTGATGGTATTGTTGTTGTAATGATATGATTTGTGATTGGTTTGTTTGTTGATAGTGTGATTTTGTTTTGATTGTTGTCACCATAAAAGGTTTTGTTTACATCGATTAGAGTGAAGTATTTTGATTGTACAAATTTGTTTGAAAAATTAATAGTATTTGATTGGTTAAGTTTGGAATGTTGATTAATTAACAGGAGTAAACTGATTGCAGTTTTTTGATAAAAAATTTTTTGAATAAGATTTTTTGGTTTTTGGTGATGTAGCAAAATACGCTAGATGATAGTGAGAAGTAAACATTGAATATATTATTGATACTTCAAGTCAATAATATAAACAATTTTAATATGAAATCTGGTTTTTTGAGATAAAAAAAAGTCCTTCAAGCAGAAAGTATAGTTATTTAAAAAGATTTGTGTATTGTTAAGAAAAAAAAATGAAAAGAACCTTAAGGAAGATTTATAAAGAAGTAATTGCCACAGGCCTTTTCTCATGCAATCCAAAAAAAAAGAAAAGTCCTTAAACTTGCTTTTCTCTGACCAGAGATCCCATCCTGATGTACCAGTATACTTTTTTAATTTCCTTGAGGCTCTTGTAGTAAATAAAGAGGAAATGTGAAGAACTTTTGGATATTGGAAGGCGAAAAAAATATTTGTTTCTTTAATTTTGGAAAAAAATTACTATAAAAGAAAATTTTTAAGAAAAAAGTTGTATACAGGAAAGAGTTTTTTTTTAATCTATTTTTATTTGTTATATAATAAAAATTTATTTATTTTATATAAAAATTTATACATATATTTTTTATAATCTAAAAAAAATTTTTATTTAAACACTTCTTATAAAATAACTTATTAAAATTTTTTATAATAATTTTTTTAAATAATAATTTTTAAAATAATTTTTAACTTACAAATAAATTTTACTTCTCTAAATTTAAAATTAAATAAAAATTAAATAAATATATATTTTTTCAATAAAATTTATATCTTTTTTTTTTTATATTCTAAAAATATTTTTGTAAAATTTCATAAAATTTAAATAATTATTTATTAAATTATAATTAAAAATATTAATTAAAAAAAAATGTAATTTTTTTTGTTCCCAATTATATATAAACCTTTAAAAATTCTAAAAAAAATTAATAATTAATTTTTTAATTTTTTATTTTTATTTATTTATTTTTTTTTAATCTCGCAATCAGGTTGGTATTATTTATTTATTAAATCATAGAAAACTATTACACATATGAAAATACATGCAAAGTATAAATTTTCCCAACCTAACTTATCCATCTTTAGCTAAAATCTCTAGATACGATTTATAGTGGTAATATATTGTTTCCCTAAAAGATGGGATTAAGATCCTGAACTTCTGATAGGATCAGCACCTGCAGATCACCTCCACAGTCATAATCATAAATTCAAATTGTGTCACCTCCTCTTGTAGAAATTACACAAGGAGAAAAAGGAATAAAAAAAAGAAATTTTTTGATAAAAAGAAAAGAAAAAAAGCTATCATTTATTCTAACTACCATAGAAAAGATTATCTTGGTGAACCTAAAACCCAAGCTCCTTATGGTTTCCTACTTCTCATCACTATGACCAGTCAGACTATTTAATTTTCAATAGAGTAATCGATATTTAAGAACGTTTAAAAATACTTTCAGGAAAATATTTCTTGAAATTTTATACTTGAAGATTTCTAATCAGAAAGAATGTTCGTTTTCTATTGTTGATTTCTCTCTACAGCCAATACTTCACCTCTCACTAGAATCAAGTGGGACCATACCAAAATATATAACTCAGCCAATTCCACTAATCCAAAAGCTAAAAACACCTCACAGACCAAAGATATCTTCAATAATCCACAAGATAACATTATTATTGATCTATCTTTTACTGTGGCTAACTCATTCATTAAATCTAAATATAATTATTCCAAATGTATTTATAGTTTAACAATTCTATTTACCAATTCTAATTTTACTACTATTTCTCCTAATGCTAAGTAGGTATTCATAGCTGCTTGGTGCTATCCAGCAAAATATATTGTTTTAAATTTTCTTTTCAATATTAGTCATATGGTTACTGTAGGCAAGCTAACATTTAACTCATTGTATTAACATAATAGAGATGTTGTTTTTTTTACGATATATATCCTGCTATATACAAATCAAATAAAGAAATGATGTTTACCTACAAAAAAAAAAAAAAGTAAACAATACCGGATTTGGTAATAATGGCTGTGTCAATCTTTTGAAGAGAGTAAACCATCCAGCCTTTTTTTTTTAAGTATTATGAAAGAGAAAAAATTTTCAAAACTTACATCTTAAGAGAAGTTGTTACTTCTTAATAATAGAAAAAAAAGGGAAGTCTATTGGCCAGAGGAGTAATGAAATAGAACAGTATTTCAGAAAAGAAAGAGAGGTCTAGAAAAAAAAAACCTTCAAAAGAAAGAGAAAACCTAACTTTGGCAGAAAAAGGAAAAAATGGAAAGGGGAAGGAATAGTTTAAAATAAAGGGTCTATAAAACAGAAGGGAAGAATAAAGGGAAAAGGAGAAAAACAGGGAAAAGCAAAATACAGGAAAAAGAAAAGAGAAGAAAGCAAAGGAAGAAGTAAACAACTCAAAAGTTTCCTAAAAAGAAATTTTTTAAGTGTTTGGAAGAAGTGGGAAAGAGTTTTTTTATTAATTTATTATAATATTTAATTATTATTTAACAAATATATATATATAAATAGTAATATAATTAAAAATAAATTATTAATTTTTTTAAATTAAAAAAAACTTTTTCCACTGATCCTTTTGCCAACCCAAAAACAGATGTTCTCAAAAGATTTTTTATCTTTATAATAATAAAGTCTATATACTTTCTTTAAAAACAATACTGATTTTAACCAGCCAAATGAGCAGAAGCTACTACTTGTAAGGATGGGTCCCTAAATTATTTAGCATATAAAATTTCGCAGATCAATTATGTTCCTTTTGAAGGGACATAATTATTTATTCATCACTTTAATAGGGACATAATTAAAAAACACTTGGATCAAATGTCCTAAATTGCAAAAAACCTTTGTA